GTGCAGCGTAATCTTGAGTGCGTACAATTTTCGTTTTTCATGCAGAACGACGATAATCGCTCGGTTCGAGCCTAATTCTATTCACGAGATAATTAGGATATCCAATTACGATATCGCATGATAGACATTTAAATGTTAAGATATTATTCGTACCGTCGGGAACTTACTACGCTTATGCGCGTAGTCGTTCTCGCAGCTTCTCTATTGCTTCTATTTGATCGGCTGACGAGACTAGCCAGTAGCCTGTTATTATTGATAACGTGAAACTTCGTGTCCTCCGTCACGTCTCACACCCAGGCGTCTGCTTATATGCATATGTATGCGTGTTTTTATACTTTTATTTCTAACTGAGGTCGCATTAAGGCTGTGCGCGTACATACTTATCTATCTATTCAAGTATTTTTTTACGCTGATATATTTTTTCTTGTGCCGAGTTTCAATTTTCGCATCGTTACTACACACCAATGTCGTTACGCTAGCGTGCGCTTCGATTCGATCGAGGAAGAAGAATCATCGCGCTTCTTCTTCGGTCCAACTTCCCGAAGGGAAGTCCCGTAGTAAACTTGCCATGCCATACCACACCCATTTCGCGGAAACTCGACGAGTCGAGTTTTGCGCATTGGCTCGAGAGGACACGCGGCTCACGTGTAGTACTTTCGATCGTGTGCGGAGTCGGAACGCGAGCGAGCGTGCGGCCGCTATGTGTTCGAATGGAAATACTTGGCGACGCTATTGATAAACTCCTGACGCTACAACTGCACTTGAAACGCCTGGGCCGCGTTCGGCATGATAAACGGATTCGTCGTGCCCGACTGCCGTAGATTTCTGGCTGCGATCTCCGCCCACTCGACATCGAAAGGATCGGAGGGTCCTCCTTTGGAGTTCTGGCTCATCGCGGCCGAGCCGAGCGAATGCGCTCTCGCGTGAAGAGGAGGCGCTCGACGGGGACTAACCGGCATCTGCTGCGAAACCGGTGACGGCACAGTGCCGGTTATGCTACCCAACCATTGCTCTGGTTTCGGCAAACCGGCTGCCGTGGGAAGCGGCTGCACCTGTTGGATGGAAAGAGCGAAAGGCTGCCTCATAATTTGCATTTATAATGTGACAAGTGAAAAAATCTGTTCTATCTGTTCTGATAAAAAAACTGAGAGATACGTCAAGAGAGATACGTCATAAAAATTGAATATGTGTTTTAAAAATAAACATGAAGCTGTTTCCAACGAAGGAAACATGATGATTTTCAATACTGATACTGAGAAAAATATTTTTTCAAGAAATGTAACAATATATTATAAAAGCTGCTTACAAATTTTTAAAAATATACATATATACATATATATATTTAAAATATATATTTAAAAAATATATATTATTTCAGACATTAAATATAAATCAATAATTTAGAAAAGTATAATATGCAAAAAATATATGTACATCAAAATAGCAAAATGTGATGTTCTATTTAATCTCTGCTAGCTTCGCTAATATAAATTTTATAAATTTAAAAAATTTTTGTCAAGATTACGTATAAATATAAATGTTTAACTTACCAGAGCTGTCGGGATACCAGTTGCCGATGAAACTTGAGTGACATCAGACGAAATTGGTAATGCTGGAGAAACGGATGCTATGCTAGTACTGGGAGAACTTGTTTTCGGAGTCATCGCGGAATTTATTGGGATCGGCGATCTATTTACGGCCGATGTAGACATATTTCCTAAAGAGGACGTAGAAGCCGTGCTGAAGGCAGGACTTGCTGCCGACGGCGGAGTGCCGAAAGCACCCACACTAGAGGAAACAGGTGCCGGTGTGCTCATCACGACCGGAGTAGGTGCGTTCGTCCTTGGAAGAACAGGACTCAAGTTGCTCGTTTTAAGGAGAGGCGTAATCCTGTGATTCGATGCAAGAACAGGGGATGCTGCAGACTCTTGCCAACTGGACCCGACATGATTCAGATTATTGAGCTCTTCATTCTTGTCGTTGTTATCGTTGTTATTGATATTGGGACCGTTCTGCAATTTCATCTCGTCCAACGAGCTACTACTCGTTACTGAAAAAAGACATAAATTGATTTGTAAAAATTACCACGCATATAATTTTTCAAGCGCATTTGTATGATTGTTGAAATAAAGAATGAAACAAGCAACATCGTTACAAATATAATACTTTGCACAACTTTGCTAAAAAGTCGTACCTGGAGGAGAGTTAGTTGTGATACTGGTAAAGAGTTGCTTGGCGACGGAGCTCGTGGTAGACGACGGTATTGGTCCGAAATCGTCGCTGCTCGAAAGCAGAGAAAGCCCTTGGGAAAGCTGTTGACACATCGCAGAGACGCTGTCATGGCCACCAGGAAATATTTCTGGTATTGGACTCACTACGAAAAAAAACAAAGACATTACATTTAATATTATATTCAAGATAGCCCAAACTTTACAACATTGTGTTGGGACGCATTCTACGAAAGGCATGCTAGAAAAATGTATAAATATATATCGAGATGATGATATAGAAGAGTATATAGAACGATAAATACACGATGTATGTTTATTTTTAAGCATGAAATATATACATGGGACAGATTAAAATTACCAGGATTCTAGCTACACGCTCGCAGTGTCGTGAGTCACGTAAATTATACGAAGAACCACGTGTGGGTGTGTGTGTGGGTGGGTGTGTTTGTGTGGAAAACGAGCATGATATTAAGGATACATTGAAGTGCAAGCAACAATAAAGATTAACAGAATAAGGAGTAATGACCTTCGTCATATCCTTCGAATTCTGTTGTAACACAGAGAAGTATATTGTTATTTAGTAATCAGATCGATTTAAATAAGTAGCATATAATCACAGCATATGCACTTGTGCGTACCATACCATATATTATTTTTATTCTCTCTCTTATATTAATTGGCTTTGATAAAATTATAAGTAAAAAGACAATTTAAATTATAAACAAAATAACAATTTAAGGCCAGCAACACTTACCTGGGGGCTTTGTAGGTACAATGTGGGAATGAGCTGAGGGCATTCGTGCCAAATCCGTTGGCTCGAGACTGTGACTACGTGTGCGTTCAAGATTACTAGGAAGATCGTTGACTCGTAGACTGAGCTGCCTTTTAAATGGGGATGCTTGACTTAGCTGCGTAAACCCTCGGAAGGAACCCTGTCGCTCCAGCATAGATAAAGTGGCGTGTGGCCTTTCGATCGCAAAGGGATTATACACCTGTCTAATCGGAGGCATTTCTGAAAATGGCAAATATTTCATAATATATGAGTAAAATATAAATAAAGATATATTACTAATCAACAGCATTAAAAGACATGTTTTGTTTTAATTGTTTTTAAATTAACAAATTTAATTTTTCAATCACCTACGAATAGATTGTCAAAGTACTTCGAAATAACAGCTTCTAATGGAAATAAATATTTCCATTTATTACATTATTTCTATCAATCATAGATTCTAATAGTAAGAATAGATACTTGTAAATAGTAATATGCGACTCACCTGCTGCACGATCGCGCGCTTCTTGCAATCGTTCCGCGAGATTCGGTTGCCTAAAGCTTCCGCTTCTCGTAAAGGTGGAAGTTTTCGAATCGAAAGTCATCGTAACTCCACATTCCTTGTCTCGTCGTTGCTTTCTTTCCAAACAGGCAGCAAAGGCACAACCCACTGCATGACTTAATCTTTCTCCCTTGATGATAAAAAAAAACATTTTGAGAGATTATTACTTATAAGAATCTTTTAAATATCAATGTATCATATTTTCAAAAACATTTCTATGCATGAAAATAAACGGGAAAATATACGCAATATAATTATATATAATAAATAAATTATATATAATAATATAATAAATGTATAGTATTTTTTTTATAAAAATTTGTAATTATATAGAATATCATAATAATTTCATTTCAAGATTTGAGATTTATCAGTAATTAAATTAAATTAAATTAAATTAAATTTTATATATATATATATATATCTCTCGTACTTGATGCTGCTTATATTCGCAGTGCATTGATAATTTACCCTTTATCGACAGAGTAAAGCATTCCTGTACAGGATAATTTTTCATTCAAATGGGAGATAAAAAGGTGCCTGACTTACCGATTCTTTTAACGCTAAAAATCCGTGGCACATCCACCGTCTCGTCGTTCCATCCCTACATATGTAACTAAATCCTTTCTCATGGTTTCTATCCGGCGCACAGAACGAAACCTTCTCGATCGTTTGATCAACAATTAATCCCTTTGTTTCGTCCTCGACAACGCGCAGTCCGTCGCCGGATACATGAAGTACAGCTCGCACTGGTCTTCGTCTTGAATTCTAAAAATTTAGTCGACGATTTACTCGGTTGTCCGAGGTGCCCTCTGACCTTAACACCAATTTATTTTCAGATCGCCTCGGTGTCAATGTCGACTCTATATGTAAGCCGTGCTAAATATAGTCGAGGCGAAAGACTCGGAGAACGTAGCTCGCCTGCCTTTCGCAAACCTTATGAAACTTTCTATAGAGCTTCTTGAATATTTGAAATGAAAAGCACTTTATGAAGAAATAATATATATATATATATATATATATATATATATATATATATATATATATATATATATATATATAATAATATTATTCTTGTGAAATTATTTATTCTTATAAAAAATTAATAGATAAATGAAATATATGACATAGAGTGACTCATTTTAAATTTGATGTAATCAAATATCTCAAAAAATATAGAAAATATAGTAAAATATTTCAGACAAAAGTTATAGAACCTCGAGGAGGTTGCAACATTGATTTATTTGCAGATGGAGTCACTGTATCTTTTATGTTCACTATTTTTTTCAAAACGTAATCATATATTTCTTGTTACATAATAGGATTTCTCTAATTATGTTATTTTGACTATTGAAGTAATAAGATACAGGCAGAAAGTCAATAGTGTAGGAGATATTTTATACTTTATTCGAACATATTTTGATATAAAATATCTCTACTTTAATATTTTTACATTGAAATATAAAAATATTTAATTAAATATTTAATTTAATATATTTAAATATAAAAGTATTAAAGTATATTTATTAGAAAATGAATATTTCACAAGATACTTTATACTTTATATCAAACTATGTCACAATAAAATACCTCGTAAATTTATTTTGATACAAATATATCTAAATACTTTTATATCCAGAATAGGATATAAAAGTAAGTGCTAATGAAATCATGCTATTTAACAAAATGTATGATTCCATTAAAAAAATAATAATTATAAAAAGATCTCGATTATATAGTGTCATCTGCGAATGAATTAATATTATAATCGTGTAGGCTCCTCGACATCACTACAATTTTTGTCTGAAACATTTTAGTATCTTGCATATCTTTCGAGATATTTGTCATTTAAAATAGGATATCATACATACGAAAAGCAAATTATTAAATGTGGAAATTAATGTTTTTAATTAGTCTGTAGAGAAACTATTAATTTCACAAAATATTTTACATAAAATACTTACCCGAAGAACTTTAAGAGCCTCCTCGCAAACCTGCATACCCCTTGATTCGAACACCTCCACACATCCCAGGTACTGCAAAAATAAATTTAATTATTCATCTATTAAGGATCAAAACAGACTTGATGAACTTTGAAAGAGAAAATCGATAAGAAAACTAATAGTCTTTGTAAGAAATTTATTTTCTTATCGCTTAAGAGGATAAAAATTTCTAACATTAGTATAGTTGATATAAACTATATAAATTATGTTTAAAATTATAGGAGCTCTATTTAATAAACCGAATCGATTATTTTAAGCATCATTAATTATTTCCATGCAAACAATAAATTTCCGACGATATTAAGTTAATTAACGATTTATAACTTTGCAAAGACAGAAAATAAATATTACATGTTAATATACATATTAATATACATATCACAATGGTTAAATAACGCCAATTAAGCTTTTAGCTTTCTAATTAATCTAATTGTCATGTTAAGAACTTTTCATCTGCTCCTACACAATGGATATTAAATTTTTATGCATACCTTGACGTTAAAAGCGCATGTAGCTGAACGCACTGCACTTTCATCCGCTTGCCATTGATGAGGTTTGCTAGACTCGGGCACATGAGGATCTTTTCGCCGACGAAAGCTGTCTCGGAAGCTTCGTCGAAGCCGATCCATTCTTTTTCCCGGCGACCTTTCACGCTTCTGTAATAGCGAAACATAAAAAAATTTATTTTCTATAATTAGAATTCGAGCGGTATTAACGAAGGGTTTTCCCACGAAGGTAAAAAAAGTATCCACAACGGATAAATGTACGGGGGTTACCCAATGCTAACTTTTGTATGAAGATGGAAAATAAAAATTCGTAGCAAGATTCGTAATCGCATTTTTGATACTGATGTAAAAAAATATTAATGTTTTGATGTGAAATATTGGTAGTCAATTATAAAAATAAGACAGACAAGAGAAACTAATAAGTGCACATATAAGAAATGTATATTCATGAAAT